TGGTCGGTGGTCGCGGGTCCACGTGACGACCCTCTCGAGTCCTCTCTCTCTCTCGGATCCTATCGAGTCTAATCTCCTCTCGGATCCTCCGAGTCTCTATTTCACCCCGCCGCGTCGTCTGCTACACGTCGACGACGGAACAATTCTCCGGTTTGCAACAGGGCAGAGATAGATGGTTGCAGTGGAATTGACATGGATCTGACGATCCTCGTTGTGCTAGAACGGTCGTCGGTGTCTCCTCGACGAGCCAGCTCTCCCAGGTGTCCGCGTTCCGACGGGCGAAGCGACGACGCATCGCTTTCATCATCGTCGTCGCTTGGGGATCACAGATTCGCCCGAGCAGACCCGATCGCGAGAAAGACTGGCCCAGTGTTGGGTGGGGTCCGAATGTGCCTCGGGAACAGAGTTTGGTCAACAGGCGCTCTCCAGATGCGCGCTCTGCCTCCTCCTGGCCTGTCGTTGCCTGAACTGATGGAACTCGGCCTTCATCGCCTGCACCCTGGCCTCGATGTTGTCCCTGGTGTACCTGGCTGGCTGATGGTGCACGGTGTGCACCTGATGGATATGCGGCACGTGTATCGCGTGTATCTGATGAACGGGCGGCCTCTCCTCCCTGGTCGGCGTGGAGGCGGAGGTCGGCGTCGGCGTGCAGGACACCGGGTCGAACTCGTAGTGTCCGTCGACGCTGCCGGCGTCGACGGCGTTCTGTATGTGCGTGTGCCCGACGAGCTTCGCCTGGTCCTGCAGCTCGAGCCAGCGGCCCACCAAAGGCGGCGGGGGCGGCCTGTAAGGCGGCGGTCTCCATTCGGCGACGGTGCTTCCGCTCCTGGAGCTCTGGTTCTGCTGCGATGTGTTCTTGCTGCCGAAACCGGAGCTGCTGGACCTGCTTTCGGGCGATGTCTCCAGGTCCGGGGACGCGGCCAGCTCGGGAGCGGACCTCGCGTGCCTCGCGTGTCTAGGCGGCAGCCTGGCCCTCGGCCTGCCCGCCGGCTGCGGCGGCGACGAGGTGGCCAAAGGCTGTACCGGCACGAACCTCCTGGACTCCGCGTGGATGGCCTTCAGCGAGGGCAGCTCCTGGCTGTACCGTTGGTGCATCGACCGCAGCTGCAGATAGTCCGGCGGCGTCGGGAACGACCGCTCGACCGACGACGGCTGTCTCACAGAGCTCAGGTCGCTGAAGTACAGCGGCGTCCACGGGACCTGCGGACCGCTCGGCGAGCTCGCGAGAAACCTCGGCGACGAGATCGTGCAGATCGCCGGCGCGATCCTCGCCAGAGAGTTCACCGTCCCGTGGTGATGGTGGTGGTGCAGATGGTGGTGCATCATCGATTGCAGACCCCCTCCGTTCACGGACACCCCGCTGCCGTCCGATCGCAGGCTCAGCTGGCTCGTGCCGACCAGCGGCCGACGCCACGACGACTTCAGGCGTTGCTTAGGCAGGAAACCGCCGTCGTCGCTGCTGGACGCGTCCAGGATGCTGTTGTTCGCCGAGCTCAGCACCGAGTCGGCGACCACGAACCGGCCGTCCGCCGCGCGTGAGATCTTGCCCAACGGACGACCGCGGCACGAGTCCGGCGTGTCCGGGGTCAGGATCTCGCGCAGCAGGTTTAGACCTGGTACTCGGCTTTTTCTAGGTCTAGGGTAGGACAGACAGAGCGTTAGACAGGGCAACGGCGGCGGGTCGCGGGTCGGTTGCCCGTCAAACAAGTCGGTGGAGGCGCGGAGGTCGGCCCTCGTGACCCGACACCTCCGGTACACGTCGAATTTCATCGCTCGTTCGGTCGTTTTCTTTTCTTTTCACGGATCTTTCCTTTCGGACGTGATTGCTTTCTCGTCTAAAGACAGTTTTTTGGTTATTCGAGAGGAGACAACTGGCCGGTGACGAGAAGTGCTACTGCGATGTCGCCGAGACTTGGGTGCGCTCGTTGTTGGAACTTTTATAAGTGGACTGCGGATCTTTGTGCATTTATGGCAGAGGCGAATGAATGAAACGAGACGGTAAAACCTTGATTATTCGATCATTCGATATGAGAATAATTCGTTACGATCGGATTTACGAGACTGGATTCGTTCGAATCTTACTACGATTATTATTGCAATGTATGCTTGAATCGAGAAGTTCGTAGACAAATTTCTGATAAGAACATTTTTATGGCACCAAGAATTATGAAAGAAAAAATCAGGGACCAGCTATCAAAGTGGCCAGGTAAAACTGGTTCGGCAGTTCTATTGTTAAAATACATTTTACCTGCGATCAGCTCAATAAAAGGCGATTCGTATGCGACACGATTTGTTGCACGAATCAATAATAATTGCATCTGGCACTTTAACTAAGCAACCGTTCTATTTTCTGAACATTTACGTCATTCTGCTTAGCCCGAGGTTCTACTGTACACAAAAACGTATCGATTACATTATTTATAACTCGCAAAAATGATTCAATAGCGGAACGAATGCTAATGCAGTCTCCGTTTCTTGCAACCGATGCACTAATTCCTTTCTTTTACATAAAGATCCTCGGTCCAATTCTAAGTCTGCTATAAACGATTTGCACACTTCAACAACGAGTTAATTGCTCCGATTATGCTTGCAGATTTTGATATGCTAATTAGAAATCCTCGTTCAGGGTGAAGGCACTTCGTGAGTGATACAAGTGAGGTGGTAAAAAGAAGGAAATGGTGCAAAGACCATGGACAATATGCACATATAGGGATCGCAGATGGATCAGGTGATTTGGGGGAAGGTGTCGACTAATTAGCCACCTTCTGGCAATCCTGGTATCTCGAAGGTATCTGGAAGGTCATTGAAAGCACAGCATCTCAGGTTGCAAGTGCGCGCAGTTGTCTTCTCTCGAAGGAAACCCAGTACACATCTGATATATCATCTTAAAGATCGAATCATCCGAAGCGATCCAATTCGACGGCATCACTAAAACAATACGTTAAATCGACGATTAAATCATGCGTTAATCGGGAGAACAGTATAATAGGACGGACCTCCTCCAACGTGGTTGACTGGCCGCCGTAACAGCAATAACGTGCAACAACGACGTAAAAAAGACACGCAACGTTAACCACGAACGTAAAACGATATAAAAAAGGTAACACAAGGAGCTAGATTAAAAACAATGGAACGAAAGGCAGAAGAGACGTACAAGTTTGAACGTACAAGATACAATATATATATATCTGGTTCAGATTCAATTGCGTGTACGTATATAATAACGAATAACGGATGCAGGCAGGGAATGCATGCGCATGCACATTCCGGTGCACGAGTGGTCGGGCGTGACGTGGGTTGTGGGTGGGTGGGCGTTGCCAGTGACTGGATCTTTCTCTTTCATTTTTTGTTTTTTTTTTGGTATTCTTTACTGTATCATTTTTATATATTGCAATTCTTTTTTTTTTGCTCTAGCAAAGATCTTTTCTGCCTAATCTTTTAAGTCTTATTTTTTCTATTTTTCTTTTTTTTCTGATTTTTTTTTGAGAGAGATATATCGATTGATTAATTATTTAGTGATAGCAATCGTGGATTTAGGTGCTCCGAAACTCGTCACCTTTTCTCCTCCTTCGGGTCCGGCAGCAGGGAAAGATGGGGGAGAGAGAATGTTGTAACACAACGATTACATTCACAAAAAACAAGATCGTGGCGATAATGATAAGAAATATAACGCTAAATAACCGAACGTTACTTCTAGGCGGTGGTGTTTAGGGAGCAAATAGATAGATCGCAATGAAACTGTCACGTCTTTTTTTTTCTTTTTCTTTTTTTTTCTGTCGTTTTTTTTTCTCTTTTTTTTTCGTTCATCACCAAATCCGGGCTTTGGCCGGGACACGCGCGTTCACGGCGTGTTCGCGCCACACTCTTCGATCGAGAATCGTCGGAACGCGAGCGCGCGCGGACGTCGTTCCCCAAAGCGGAAGAAGACACGCGGTCGCGGCAACAAAACGTTCCGAAACAGAACCGTACGTCGCGGAGAAACAAAGGAGAAACGAAAGCCGGGTACTCGCGCGAGGCGCGGCCAAACTAGAACAAGATCAAATCGAACGATATACAAAGAGGCATCGTGTCGCCGGCGATACGATCCACAGGGCCCGTCGGACAACGCGGGAAAAAACCGCGTCGAAAACGGCGAGGACGACGTTTCCTTATGCGACGCGCCGTTACGGAGACTAAATCGGCTTCGAACGTTTCCGGGCGCGCCGCAGTGGAAACGGACGACCATGGCCAGACGCGCCAGACGACGACGACGACGCCGCGACTTCTTCGAGCTAAATTGTCTCGGCGAGACGAGAAACCGGCGCGGGGAAAAAAACACATTCGACCTTTTCTCTTTAGTTTTTCGCGCAGAATTTTACGGCGCTGGCCGCGATCGCGATAATTTCACGGACGACGCAAAGATCGAATTAATCCGAACGTAGAGAGAGAAGAAATCTCGGAAGTTTTCTGCTCGGATATTTCGAAATTAAATCGAATCGCGTCGAATCGATTGGAAGAATCGAGTGGAAGATCGTGTGGCCGGCTGCACGACACCCCGAATGAAATATACAAAAATTGGCAAACGGGTTTTGGGGCAGGGATAGAGGGATAAGTTCGAGAAGCACATCGAAATAAGAGTAACGCTCGCCGGTCGTGGGGATCGCAGGGATCGAGCAACTCGTACAGCGACGACCGTCGTGTAAAACGTTCAAAAAACATGAATAATACAATGACAGTCGTGTGTGTTATTGGATGCAGTTTTGTTTCGGGGGTTAGGGGGGTGGGCGGTGGTGGGTGGTTAGGGGTTTGAGGGGGAGGGTAGAGCCGCAGTGAGAGCGGCTTACCTATTGCTTTTCGTTTGCTTATGTCCGAGTGTTCGAATGCGATCGCGTCTTTTTACGGCTCGTCTAAAATCGATAGACTGGAAAAGAGGAAAAGAATACAAACAGTTTCGGTTAAAAAATCTTTCGATCGATTCGCTTTTCTTGTTTTTTTTTGTTTTGATTAAAAACTCTTTCTTTTTCTTTTTCTTTCTTTTTTTCTTTTTTCTTGTGACTTTTTTCTTTTTTCTGTTTTATTTCTTTTTTTTTTATTTGTTGGTGAATCAACTGTCGTAGGATTATATAGTTCGATTGCTGGTTTCTCATTGGCATGCTCGGTCAAGTGTGACATGCTACGTGAGAGAGATAGAGATAGATAGATAGATAGATANGACAACGCGGGAAAAAACCGCGTCGAAAACGGCGAGGACGACGTTTCCTTATGCGACGCGCCGTTACGGAGACTAAATCGGCTTCGAACGTTTCCGGGCGCGCCGCAGTGGAAACGGACGACCATGGCCAGACGCGCCAGACGACGACGACGACGCCGCGACTTCTTCGAGCTAAATTGTCTCGGCGAGACGAGAAACCGGCGCGGGGAAAAAAACACATTCGACCTTTTCTCTTTAGTTTTTCGCGCAGAATTTTACGGCGCTGGCCGCGATCGCGATAATTTCACGGACGACGCAAAGATCGAATTAATCCGAACGTAGAGAGAGAAGAAATCTCGGAAGTTTTCTGCTCGGATATTTCGAAATTAAATCGAATCGCGTCGAATCGATTGGAAGAATCGAGTGGAAGATCGTGTGGCCGGCTGCACGACACCCCGAATGAAATATACAAAAATTGGCAAACGGGTTTTGGGGCAGGGATAGAGGGATAAGTTCGAGAAGCACATCGAAATAAGAGTAACGCTCGCCGGTCGTGGGGATCGCAGGGATCGAGCAACTCGTACAGCGACGACCGTCGTGTAAAACGTTCAAAAAACATGAATAATACAATGACAGTCGTGTGTGTTATTGGATGCAGTTTTGTTTCGGGGGTTAGGGGGGTGGGCGGTGGTGGGTGGTTAGGGGTTTGAGGGGGAGGGTAGAGCCGCAGTGAGAGCGGCTTACCTATTGCTTTTCGTTTGCTTATGTCCGAGTGTTCGAATGCGATCGCGTCTTTTTACGGCTCGTCTAAAATCGATAGACTGGAAAAGAGGAAAAGAATACAAACAGTTTCGGTTAAAAAATCTTTCGATCGATTCGCTTTTCTTGTTTTTTTTTGTTTTGATTAAAAACTCTTTCTTTTTCTTTTTCTTTCTTTTTTTCTTTTTTCTTGTGACTTTTTTCTTTTTTCTGTTTTATTTCTTTTTTTTTTATTTGTTGGTGAATCAACTGTCGTAGGATTATATAGTTCGATTGCTGGTTTCTCATTGGCATGCTCGGTCAAGTGTGACATGCTACGTGAGAGAGATAGAGATAGATAGATAGATAGATAGATAGATAGATAGATAGAGAGAGAGAGAGAGAGAGAGAGAGAGCGAGATAGATTTAGATACAGATGGAGAGATAGATAGAGAGAAAGAGAGAAAGATTGAGAAAGAGAGAGAGAGAGAGAGAGAGGAAGAAAAGATTGAAAAGCGAACGCGTCTCGTTCGCACTTTCCGTGTGATATCGAGATCCTTTTAACGTGAAGAGACAGAGAAAAGGGTTAAAGGTGAGAATAAACAGCTGGGCCGATTCCGGCAGATCGTTTTGCACGTGTTTCAACGTGAAATCGATGGACATTGTTTAGCTGTTTATCGGCAGGGCGGTGGAGAGCTTCGGTGACAAATAAACGAAATAAAAGAACC